AATGGTTTTTTCGTTATCTATTCATACATTGCTATTGTCACGTCAATTGCGTCGGAGCTGAATTTGTTCTATGAGTGATTCTCATATTTTTCACAAAGTAGACTATAGACCGAAGTAGCAAATTCCTTTTTAATCCATCACGAGTTCGTGGCTGGCGTGTCATGAGTTCGAGCCTCGTACCTCTGACAACCTGCCGTGTAAAGGGAGCCTAAGCACGTCAAATATGTCGAGGTTCAATGTTCTCCCGTTGGTGTGGAGTGGGAGTTAGGATAGGGAGAGAGGAATAAGGTAAAATATGTTATTAACCCTTTAGCGGTCAGTGGCTAATACGTCTAGCCACATATTAAAAATTTTTTCTCCAAGTGGGTGATGGATATTTAGTCTATCCACACGAGTTAATTGAAGTTAAAACGCATAAAAATCAATACAAATGGCAGGACGATAACTTTTTTGCATTTTATGTCCCCTGATGGGTAGTTAAAAGCAGTGTTTCTCGGTGTAACTCTACAAATTGTATTTTGATTACTATAAATAAAATTTCTGATGTTTGAAAAAAATTTCGACATGTCTTAAATATACTTTTCTCTCATCTGAATGAATTAAGCAAATTTGCAATTAAAAAAAGTTGTATCTAGGTTTTTGGAAAGCTTTTATATGTGGCTATAGAGGCTCTATCCACTGCCCACATAGAACAGAAAAATGACCTAGAAATTTTTGCTTTTCTCCACACTTAGAATCATGTGAGAGTGTTGGGGATCGGAAATACAAATAAACTTTGTTTACAATATGTGGAACAAGATTCTCGGGTTCGAAAATCTTTCATTACAGCTTTTCTGCTCGGAAAAAACGTTTGTATATTATAAAGTTCCACAGTAAATAGTTCATCAAATTTGTGAAATAACTAGTTTAAATTCTCGAAAATATTACTTTATTTCTAACCTTTTATACTAAAATTAAGTAAAATATAAAATGTGGATATATACCAATTTCAATGTATGCTCTATATAAGTATTCTATATATATTATAAGTAAGTATTCTATGTTATACAATTATTCTATTATTATTTAATTACACTTATACCTTGTATTTAATTGTTATTGAAATAGTTATTACATAAATGTCAATCTTTCATAAAAATGTTTATTGTAATATGATTCATTATTTCTGTCCTGAAAAGTAAGTTAAATGTCTTAAGTGCGCAGTGGCTATATAACGTCTAGCCACCACCCAGGAAAAAAACCCTTGATCATATTTTTTTTTTTGTGACTAAAAATGTTTATAGGAAATGAGAACATTGCATTTATCAAGTACTTTATCACAGAAAAGTATATTTTAGCTTTGTGCCCGTTAAAGGGTTAAACGCATTATTTTTGAAACCTTATTAACGTTTCATTAAAGAATACTAGAAACCTTTAATTTTTAATGCTAACCTTAACCTTTAATGTTTTGCTACAAGGGTCAGCAAACTTGTAGCTATGGCGTGCCAAACCAACATACCAATATAATTCAAGGTGCCATACTGTAGGATTTATTTGAAACAATTTGATTTCTGCTGCAATGCATACAGAATAAAGGAATAGAGATCAATAATATTGAATTAGAGTTTTATTATATATTAATTTTACATCATTTATAGCTATTTATTAGCATAAAAATAAACAACGTAAAATATAACTATTCCTACAATATAAAAGTTTTTTAAAAATAGTTTATACATTATATGCATCTTTTAAGCATATTAATTAAAATAAGAAATAAACAACATAAAATATATGTATTCATCTTTAGTATAGTTAAATAAAATTAAATTTTTTAATGTGAACATCCCTGCTTTGCTCTACTTCATATCGCAAAAGCAGGGGCATAGTTTGTAACTTTCAACTCGACACTATTCTGAACATTCAGTTGTTAAATAACTTCTTTGTGGACTCAAAATACTCCTTTTACATGAGAAAAGATTTCTTCATATAGATATATAGAACCAAAATCGGAAATCAGAACACATGTAATTTTCTTCAAGCAATTAAATCTCTACATCAATGACGTTCAACAATTTGAAATTGCTGTGGATTCCAGAGTTTTGTAATTCCCTAAATATTGTTTTCATAATTCTGAAGATAGTTATGAAACTAATAAGCTAAATTTCAAAATTATCACTTTCCATCCACTCAAAACTTAACAAATTTGTGGAGTAGTGTAAAGTGCCACTGAGAATTGTACCGCTTGCCAAATAAGGCATGCGTGACCGACCCTGTTCTACCTTATATATTACAAATAAACTACAAAAGAATTTCAGGAACGAAAAAATATTTGTGTATGAGTAGATTCAGTTCACTTTTCAGAGGGTAACTAATCTAACTTGGAAATACAAATATTTCAAAATCAATCAATGTTTCCAATCAATCCAATCAATGTTTTTTTCATCCCATTCTAAGTTGCACTTAGTCTGTAAAGTAAAGCAATTTCTTAGCAAAGCTTAGTCTGTAAAGTAATCTCTTTATAGAACAGTTTCGCTAAATAGTTTTAAAAAGTACGTCTAGTTAATAAGATTAAATACTCATAGTTATCAATGTCTATTCTTTTTATTGTATCACATTTTTGTACATTTCTTCACTCCAAGAATTACCAAGAATGAACTAATACATTGTATTTATTTGCTCAATATGATTTGAAAACGAAATGTTTATTTTTAAGAAAATTGTGATATGAAAAGCACTCTCAGTGAGGAAAAACTAATAAATATGCTTCAATGTTTCTATTTTTAAAATTGTGTTAACGAGTTACAAAGTTAAGAATTTGTCATAAATTTATTTAAGTTGAAAAAAACCCCGGTTACTAACGGTATTTTTAACACGCTTTTATAAGCTTCACTTGTATGCAACGGAATCTTTGAACTCGATTTTTACGCACTTTAAAAGGTCAGATTAATTTAAAATTTTGCACACTTGTCAAGAACCGATGACAATACAAAAATTTAATAATTTTGTTCCATTGTCCTGATCAAGATCATCAGGATTAACGATTTCCCCTTTCCAGATTTGGCGACTAAAAGACTGTTACAACA